CAGGAGGGAACAGTTAATGTAGAAGTCCATGAAAGTTTTATCATAGGTAGAATGCAAAATTCTTCAATACAATTTAATGTTTCAATACAAGCATTTCAGTCAAATGTAATTTAAGCAATATTTCAAACTTTTAAACTGTTGCCATGGGTTGATTTCCCAAAGTGGGTTAAAAGTAGCCCAATTCTGTGGAAAAAAACGACAAATATCTGATCTTGTAAGATGTGCTCCCTTTACACAGAGTGCGTGTGATAGCGAAATCGAAAGTGAAAGTAAACGGCGCAAACGCTCATTCAAAAATATTTAAATACACCGCATCCTGAGAGCGGCTCCAAGATGCATCAAAATTATATACAATATTAGAATGTTTAACACTAGAACTGCCAGAGGTCGCTGTATGCCTAAAAGCGCCAGCGGGTAAATTTTACCCACGCACATGACAGCAGTATTTATATGGCAAAAGAACATATTATTTCACTGTCTTCACAAAGAAGTCTTGAATGTCTAGAGTCATAAAATGATTATGTCTAGTCATCAACTATATTTTTATCCTGTTGTTTTATGTTCAAGACTTTTTAATGCAGGCTACACTAATCCAGAACGGTCAGTAGCCTAAGATAAAAATAAAAAAAGCCTGCACTGACAATGGAAATTAGAAGGTAGTAGCCTAAATAATGTAATGGTGGTGTAATATTATAATGTCATTAATCAATATATTAATATAACCCATACTATTTAAATTACTAAAATAGCCTATAGACAATAATGAGCAATAATTCACCACACTGCATAGGATGATGCAATGACAAATTCTAGCGCACAGCTTCACCTAAATATTTATTAATTTGTTTAGTTATATCATTTATAATTTAAAAAAGAGAGCAACACCATTAAACTTTGGGTAATCAAAAAATGGTTTTATTCATTACATCCTATAGATCTTCAGGAAATGGCCAGACTAGAATAGCAACACAGTAGCGAACAATAAACGATATGGCAAGAAAAAAATTTAATAATTAAACCAAAGTTTGACCAATTAGAGTAACATGAGGCTAAAACATGTAAATATGATATCTGGATCACTGTCAGATGAGCCATCAGATGCTGAGCCAGCCCAGGACGCATAACTTGCCATCAGACTCTCCATCACTCATGGCATTTAGTGTTTCTAATACCTACCTTCCATAAATCGCCTTTTTTAGTCATTTTGACTTTATTTATAAAACTGATAACCGCTAAATCAGTGAGTGAAAAGCGTTGCCTAGAAATGTACAATGTTAAAACATAAGCGGCAAGAAAATTACAGCGCGAAACTTCATGCATTATATAGCGGGTAAATTTGACCCGCTGGCGCTTATAGGTATAAATGCCCCGTTTTTTTATCTGGTTTTATCTCAATCATTTTTAACAACATTGGATTGTAAATTACATAATTTTAGTAAAAGTCAATGACTGGGAGACTTGAATGTTTTATTTTAAATCTGTCATGTTGTAACGCTTAGCCTAAATAAGGCGGGCTACACAAATAAAGTTTGTGCTGTTTACCTCTTAATAGTAGGTTTTGAAGGAATGCAGGCACAATAAATAACCACCAAGATAAATAATGAATGCCAACCCAGGGTGTATTTTACAAGAAGACAAAAAAAACGATATATACATTATATACAATCAATGTATGAGCATGTGTGCGTACTGTCCTTGAAAGTCAAATAGTATGAGTGTGTGTGTGTGTGTGTGTGTGTGTGTGTTCAGTTCGGCCTCACGAACTGAATTATATAAAGTCCGGGAGCACGTTGAGGAACAGCGCTGTCCTGTGAGGAAATCCAACTTAAATAGTCCCACCAACTTGACCATTCCACGCTGAGAATGCTGGGGAGAGGCCTGATCTCCAGGAAGTTCTCGCACTGCTCAATGAAGTTGGGCACTTCTGCAGTCTCGCAGGAATCGCCGAAAGAGGGGAACTCTATGCGGATGGGAGGACGAGCACAAAATGAGGATGAGCCAGCCAAAACTGAGGAGGTAAGCACATTAGGTGAGGGAGTATACACAGAAGGAGTTACATCATCAGTAGTATTTTGCACTGGATGAGTTGGACCTTTCTGTTTAGCATTAACCGGCATGGGGGTCTTTGGACAATAGACCGGAGAAATGTGGGAGGAAGTTGGTGAGTAGGTCTGTAATCTGGAGAGTGTGGGTGTACTGGTGAGTCTTCGTTTTTGCATTTGACTTTCCAATTTAGCATCTCTCCTCAGAAAACAATCAGTTACCGCCCTTTCTAATTTTTCCAGTAATTTTAGGAAATAGTCCTCCAACCCAGCCAAGCTAGCGTCCACGGCCTGCCTGAAACTGGTCTCCCGGTTTACTGTACTGTCTATTGACTGTTTAAAATCATGTTCTATATTTTGTACTCTTTTATTGAGGGCCAATAAATCCACCTTTACTTGTGCTATGTCTGCCTGCATTGTCTGTACTATTTCACCACTTAAAATATTGCTCCCTTCATCATCATCATCAGATTGATGTATAAAAATGTGTCAGAAATGTATAATGAGCTTATCATAGATGTTATTTCAGCAGTAGGATTGTGCCTGGTTACAAATGGGCCTGCTGTAAAATCCACATCTGGTTGTTCAACAATCTCTTGGTCATTTACAGGTATACTTGGATTATTGGTATTCACAGTGTTCACAGTATTAACATCAGTAACCCGGTCAGCATTTGTCACATCCATAATGATAATTATCCTAAAACCAAACAAACACAAGAAAAACAGATCCCCATACGGGCCACCAATATGTAACGCTCAGTCTAAATAAGGTGGGCTACACAAATAAAGTTTGTACTTTTTACCTCTTAATAGTGGGGTTTGAAGGAATGCAGGCACAATAAATAACCACCAAGATAAATAATGAATGCCAACCCAGAGTGTATTTTACAAGACAAAAAAAATGCAATGTATGAGCATGTGCGCGTACTGTCCATGAAAGTCAAATAGTATGAGTGTGTGTGTGTGTGTGTGTGTGTGTTTGTTCAGTTCGGCCTCACCGGTGAATTATATAAAGTCCGGGAGCACGTTGAGGAACAGCGCTGTCCTGTGAGGAAATCCAACTTAAATAGTCCCACCAACTTGACCATTCCACGCTGAGAATTCCACAATAGTCACAGCCAATAACAGCAGAACGTAAGAGACGATCGATCGTTGTATGTATCCCCCAGTGAGCACGTTGAGCGTAGCTCTTGAACGCCGCTAACCGGCTTCTTTTATCGGAAGTGTCAACTTATCTGATCCATGTGACAACACTCGACGGGGCAATACAAACAAAGAGACATAAATAACAGCTGTGACACATCAACAATCAAATTAGCATTTAATCAACAGCTTTATTAATATATCCCTCTTATGTGGCCGTGCTACAATGTACATTTGAAACATTCAAAGGGTTATAGTGTTAAAGGAGTGGACACGAAAATCGCGGGAGCGAAACACATGTTACGGGAGCAGGCGGCAGTGGTCAGAGATTCAGCGGGAGTGGGACTAAGAAAACAGCCGAATCCCGGACATTTTGGGCAATTAAGAAATCCCAGCCAAATGCATTTTTGTAGGTCCAAAAAGAGGACATGTCTGGGGAAAAAAGGACACATGGTCACCCTAATTTATAATCTATTGCTAATCGATGTATTCTTTTTAAAGTAGCCTATGGAACATATTTTCTGCCTCATTCTGTGACAAGAAGCCTCATCAGATCACAAAAGGAAGCATTTGACTGGTGTTGTGGAGTAAATATGTTATAATGTTCTCTTTTGTTGGACAACAGGTTTAGAAATGTGAATACAAGGGAGGTTTAGCTTTTATATATACACACAGGGCTTGACATTACCTGCCAAATGCGGGTGGATTTAAGCAGTGACGGGTAACACAGTCACTCCTACTAGCCACTTCGGCGGGCTGAATTATACAGTAACAGAGCTCGACATTAATGCTAATCTGGGACAAGCGGATTTTTTTGTAGGAGCACGTGAAAGAGAATTTTTCTTGCCTGACCGAACAACAAATCTGATTAAAACATCTAATTAGGGAAACATGGAAATCGAGAATGATTGATTTTATTAGGCTTTTGGTGTAAACGGTGATTAATAATGGATAATATTGACAGGAACAAGGTTGCACCAGTTGAGGCTTACGCAGCCTGTCTGTATGTGAAATAATCTTGTGGAGAAATCAAAACAAATTAACACAACTGCACACACAAGTAACATACTGTGGTAAAGTTTATATATTTTTAACATGTGTCACGACAAAGAACTCAGTTTTCCCGGAAAACCACAAAATTGACATTGATTTAGGCTAATACAAGAGTAGTTAATATACAGTACAATATTGTAAATGTTGACTGTTTTTGTCCAATTTGGTTAACGAAAATAGTTCCAAACAAAGATCACAGCAGAACAGTCACGCATCTCTGAGCAGCACACAGCGGTGTTTCGATATTGAATGATTCGCGTTTTTGAATTTTGAATCATTTTAGTCAATGATTCAGTGGTCCATTCACAAAGACAGACACTTGATTTATTCTTGAATGAATCAGCTGTCTGAACGAATCGTTTGCCTCAATGCCTCACTCATTAAAACAATCACTTGCTGCCACCTACTGGTGGTTTACTTCTATATTTAAAAGTACCTTTACGTTGCATTTTTTCCCAACATTTAATATTTCCATATAAAAAAAAAAACTGATTTAAAACACCAAGCTCATAACCTTATTTATGCTGTGATAATTTTGCAGTGTAAATGCATTCATGCTACATGTCAGCTTCATTAAACTGTCTGTGTAAATCTAAATGCCACTTCAGCTGCTTCTGTTTCTTCTGCAGTGGAAAGATCGTTTTTGTTAATACTGATTTCATTGGATTGGTAACAGTCCTGTAGTGTCTTATTATGTTAAGTGAAATTATTAATAAATTGTAAGAATTTGATATGAAAGATGATGCATGCCATTTAATACAGTAAAAACGACCTGAAAATCAGTTTAAATAAATTTAAGTATGCAGTAACTTTAGTCATATAAAACGTAATTTCCCAACAACAAAATGATGGCAGGTGAAAGTGGCTAGTAATTTAGGAAAACCACTTGCCACAGTGGCTGGTGAGCAAAAAAAAGTCAATGTCAAGCCGTGTATATATATATATATATGTTACATATTAGTTACAAACCACTGCTTAATTTAAATGAATGCTCATATTAAAGGGGTAAGCAACATAAAAAGGACACATGAAACAAAGTGCAATATTACAGACCACATTTATTATAATCCAAAAACATGCACACGTTCACGGATCACAACTCAAACATCTAAATCAATAAAGAGAAACTAGTAAACAAGAAAATAAATGTAAATTAACCTTACCCAAAATCACACCAAATTGTTGTTAAACTTAACAGATAAGAAGAGAAAATAAAATAAGATGAAATATTTTACAAAACAAGCTAACACAAGTGACAACTCTGTTGATGGCAGCATGAGATGCTGGAGTAATTTTGCATTTAGTCTTTCGGACACTGCAAGAGTTTTTGAATGATATACTGATAACATTTGCAATATGATAACTGCACAAGGTTTATTTCCATTAAGCTAACAGAACATAGCTTGTGGTCACACACCAAATTATAATTCAATAAGCGTAAGAGTGACTTTCAACTGTCCTTGTCTTATGCAAACGCTAATATCAGTGACTGAATGTAAATGCAAAGTAATCACTTTGTGAGCTAGTTTTAAACATTAAAACTTCATGTTAAGCAGAAATACTGTGTGTCAGGATAACAAAACAAAAACAAACCCACTAACACAAAAACTAAATGCTCATTTTAAAATGCCCAGGAACCTGTGACAAAGAACGACTAGGCAAGTGATATTTTTCAGCACTTACTAGTATTAAAAGTTTTTTTTTTTCTAATTTGCTCATAAACTCATCTTAAAATGAGAATGATGCTATATTAATACGTTTATATAACAGTATAAACAGTCTTCGCTGACTTTTCTATTCAAAGAATCTGAAAAAATATCAAAAAGAGCAGCATTTATTTGAAATAGTAAAGACATTTATAATCTTAAAATAATTCTGTCACTTTTAATCATCTTAATATTATTTAATATATACTGTATATATAGAGAGTGAGAGAGTACAACAGGGCTAAAGGCCCCCCGGGGTAAAAGGTGCCTTTGATATTATTTTCATCTAAACCACTAGATGGCACAAAAATGTGGCGTAGCACTTTCCAAAACATTTGCTTTTCAAGATACAATAGTATATTTGTCTGATCCTTGACGCGATCGCGTGCAGCAGCGAAAAGTTGATTCTGTGCTTACTTGATCTAATATTTAATGTTTTTTGAAATTGTAGATTTGAGTAGCAAATGAGAATCGCTAAAATTAATGCATATATTTTGAGGCAAAGGTTTTCTTAATTTTCACAACAGTTTTTAAATAACGTAAAAATATATAAAATGGTATGGTATTTGGGGTAAAAAGCGCCCCTGCTGTTGCAGCTAAAGGCGCACAGTAATTAACATGATAATTAATAGATGGATGACTTTTCCATTTGTTGACATGACATGGTTAAATTCAGATGATAATATCATATATTATGTTGGGTGTCCATATTAGAGATAATCACCATGTTTAAAATTAAACCATCATATTTAATTTAATTAATCATATCATATAATAAAATATCATTTGTCGTTACTACTGTAAATCTATATTCAATTATGAGATCTCCTTCAATGCTTTCAGAATCTTGACTTTTTAAAATGATTTTGTTTTTGTATTTTAAAATATATTTTTTATATTAACATTTTAATGACAGTATATTTATTGAACAAAAATTATTTTATTTTTCAAAATAAGCAGAAAATAGTACAAACTTTGCTAAAGTGATTGTTTTGAGCAAGTATTAACTTATAAAATTAAAAACATTATAAAAAAATATATATTTTAGCTCAAGTATTTGTATCGATACCCTCTGCCTTATACCCCATGCTTTTGTATGATTTATTTTTGCACAAAATCTGTTGCTCCATTAATGTTCAATACAAACATGTATATTTTTTCTGCAACTATAGATTTTAGGCACGGACCCGCCGTAACCTCAGAGACAGACACCTGGTCTATATAAAGTGAGGGTTTCTTTCTGCAAGTTGATCGTCTTCAGGGGTCGTGTGAAATTACATTCACATTTCTGCTTTAGTTTGGTTGGTGATTCTGTTCAGCGTGAACACAAGTTAAGATGCATCTGTTTGCCGTCTCTGTGCTGCTAATGCTTGCCATTCCATTTATCATGACCGAACTTGATTCATTCAGTTCATGTCTTGATTCTTTTTCAAATGAAAAACCTCCAGTGATTCATGATATTCTGGAGAATTCAGTCTCAAAGGATCAAAACCGTTAAGAACATTAAGGCAGAATCTTTTTTGCAACTCTCTATGACACAGGAAATAAGATCCCCATTTTCTCAGCCTACAAATATACCGGGAAAGGAGCTTTCACAAGACCAAAGATTAATTTTCGCAGTGAGAGTAAGGTAATGTTTTTGATTTTTTTTTGTCTCAAAGCTTATTTTAAAGCTTAAAATATATCTGTACTGAATTTACTTAAACTAAATTAGTATTTGTAATGTATTCTACTCTTGAGTGTACTGACTATCCATTTGTTTCATATGATTATTTGTTCTGTAGCTTAATAATCAGCAGCAGGCTCAAGATAAGGACTACAGAAACAACAACATAAGGATGAGTCGTGGTCATTTATTTCCCAGCAGCCATGCAGCTGATCTAGAAACTGCCTCTTCTACATTCACCCTGACCAATGCTGTGCCACAGGAGGAAAGCTTTAATAAAGGAATATGGAAGATCAAGGAAGAAACTTTTCAAAAAAACATGAATGAAAACTGCCTTAGTAATAACAACAAAATTGTGGCCCATGTGCTGACAGGAGCTATACCTGGCACCGAGAAAATGAAGGAGAAAGTGAACATTCCTTCACACGTGTGGATGGCTTTTTGCTGCTATAACAATAAGAAAGATTCATGGGTCTCCCAAGCTTACTGTGCTACAAACGAAGCAAACAGCAAAGCCGACCTTACTACAGAAAGCTTGTCTGAGTTACAGCAATTCATAAATGTTAAATTGGGGAAAGAAGTAGTTCTGTTTCATGACATGTGTAAATAACAAAATTATGGATTTGAGATCTCTGTCAAAACATAGTTCTTCAAGCGTGTTACAATTATCCTATTTTCTAAACTACAGATGTCTTAAATCGACAGCTTTGTCCTGTCTTTTGCACATACAAATGCTTCTTACCACATGCTTAGTATACTACTGTAAGGCAACACCAAATATGTTAAGGAATGTGCAAGAATGCTGAGTTTGTATACTGGCTTTTCACTAATAAAGTGTTGTGCATATCACAGTCGTCTCACTGAATATGTATATTTATTGTAAGGGAATTAATTAATTAATTATTTTTGATTTTATAGGGAATTTGAACAGAATCACTGTTTTACGGCTGATCACTGAGTCGGCCAGCAATTCATTGAACGAGCCGTATAACATCAACTTTGCAATGGATATAATGCAAATCCAAAATATAGTGAAAACACTATTAATTAGCACATAAGCAAGATTGGCAGTTTAAGACATTAACTTGTAAGCACAAAACACTAGATACTACTTTTCAATAGAAATAGTATTATCTAATAAAGTCTTAAGACATGTAACCTAATCTAACACAAACACACACATTCACACAGATTGCAGAAAGAAAGACAGTGAGGAAAGAATGAGTTTAGAAGAGTGAAAATATGAAACCCCCAAGTTTATAGCAATATATGCAATTGCTTAGCCTCATTGAGAAACTTAATGCAAAGGTTAATTTGATGATTGATGTTAGCAATTGAAAAAAAACTCTAATAGACCTGAACTACCAAGCGTTTACCAATACTTAACGTACTTTTTCTAAACTCTTAACACAGCAACACACCTACAATCACACAATTAGCCAAATAGTTAATTTTATGGCCAAAACCACAATTTGTTAAATAAATACAAACTCTACGTTTCAAAATGCCGAACACCTTTTTCTACATTTACTAACTCTATCAAAACACAGCAAACCCGATTCAAAATTGAGTCATTCAGTCAAAACATCGGCACAGGTTTTCTATCCAATAGGAACATATAGTCGATCATAGTGCATAGACTGTCAAAATGATAACAATTAATGGCATTACAAAAACTGCATTACTTGTCATGTCTCAGTTCGACCTGTATAGGACATACAATATGAGATCCTTTAAAAAAAAAAAAAAAATAATAATAATAATAATTCAGTCAGCTGAACTCTACATTTATTGTGTGTGTGTGTAAATGTGTGGATTCATTTTAGATCGTATGTGTACAGCACAGTGAAGGAGTCATCAGTACTTTATGGAATGTAAAAGAAAAGTGACAGAATTGCTGCAGTAAAAGCTTTATTGACAAAATGAAATTGCTGTCAGTGATAAAAAAAAAAACATACAGCCCTTTGCCCCAAATAAATTTCAAAAATAAAACAAAATGACAGACAAAAAAGGAACAGAAAGAGTACAGTTCTAATCTATAAGATCTTCAGCATTTGGCCACGTGTTCTAGTCGACATCACACCTTATATTGTCTCTTGCTATGCACCTTGGATAGAAACACTTAGCATGCCTTATCCACCCCTGGCAGTCTTCAGCTGAGATGTCTCTACAGCCAGCCTCCATTGCATCCAGGAGGGACATTTGATCATGTGGTCGATGATCATAGACTTTCCACCTCCAGGCAGAAAAAAATTCCTCAATGGGATTGAGGAAAGGAGAGTACGGAGGAAGAAAAAGGGAAATCATTCTCGGATGGGCTGCAAACCAATTTGTGATTGCATGTGAATGGTGGAATGCTACGTTGTCCCATGCGATCACAAATGTCCTCATGTTTCCTCCCACTTGTTCCCTTTCTGCTTCTGGCACCAGCTGTTGGTGGAGGTCATCTAAAAACAAAAGGCGCTCGGTGTTGTAGGGACCAATCTGGCTTTTCTGCAGGACCAAACCAGCACTTGACATTGCAGCACACATTGTGATATTTGCTCCTCTCTGACCCGGCACATCAGCGGTGGCCCTTTTTCCAGTTAGGTTTCTTCCTCGTCTACGAGTTTTTGCCAGGTTAAATCCTGCCTCGTCCACATAAATGAATTAATGTGGTGTCTGATTAGCCTCCAACTCCATAACTGACTGAAAGAAATCAAATATGATGTATATGCTTTTCACTATGTGGGTATGTTTACAATAGACAATAGTGAAAGAAAGTGTAGAATAGTGTAAAAGTCACTCTAGAATCAGATATAGTGTATAGGCACCTGGACATATTGGTGTCAGAATTCCTTGACCCGCTCACGGTTTCTTTCAAAGGGAACCGTGTACAGCTGTTTCATTCGAATTCTGTGTTTGTTCAGAGTCCGAGCAATGGTAGCCAGGCTGATGCTTTCAACATTCTATAGCAGGT